AGAGTGGTCTCCAGAGTCAGGTCATCCTGAATCTGAGTCCTGGCTCTGTCACCACTGGTGGTATTATTTTTGGCAACATGTTAGCTTTCTTCAGTCTCAGCTTCCTGGCCTGCAAATAGGGACCATGCTAGTGCCTGCTTCACAGGATTGTTGTAAGGATCAAAGGCACCAAAGCATAGGTGATGCTTATATGACACATTTTATATGTGTCAGCTTGGCTAGGCTATAATGCCCAGGTGCTTGGCCAAACACCAATCTAGATGTTGCTGTGAAAGTATTTTCTAGATGTGATTATCATTTAAATCAGTAGACTTTGAGTAAAGCAGATTACCCTCCAGAAGGTAAGTGGGCTTCATCCAGTCAGTTGAAGGCCTTAAGGGAAAAGACTGACGTCCCCCAGAGAGGAAGGAATTATGCCTCCAGACCATCTTTGGACTTAAGACTACAACAGCAACTCTTCCCTGGGTCTCTGGCCTACCAACCTGTCCTGCAGATTTCTGACTTGCCAGGCCCTGCAATGGCATGAGCCAATTCCTTAAAATAAGTCTCTCTCTCTCTCTCTCTCTCTGGACGAATAGATAGGTCTTGTATTAGTTCCATTTCTCTGGAGGATTCTGACTAATACAGCATGTTCACAGTACCGAGCACAGCTCTCAGCACACTACGTGCTTGATAAAAGCTAATCCCCGAGATGATGAAGTTTTGTACCCCAGGACCTGTGGGTGCTTGTGGGAAAGTTATTAGGGGCTGGGGACCAGGGAGAACAAAAGCCCTGCACATCAGCCCTGCAGCATACGATTTAGGTAGCAGCAGCTCTGAGAGAGGTGTTGGCCTGACACCTGCTATTCTGGGGGACAGAAGGCTGAGCCTCTCGTCCTGGGACCCATCTGGGTCCCCTCCCCCGCCATCCTCACAGCCCCTCAGCCCTCACCAGGGAGACGATCTGCAACTCAAGCTCCTTGGCAGCTGTGCCTGTGGATGCTGGCTTCTCACTCCCCATCCCTGCAGCCCGGCCCACAGATGTTTTCTCCTGGCCTTTCTTCTTTTAGACCTTGTTTCCTCTTCTGACCCAAACTCCGGCGAGGCTTTTTGGTTAGCTATGTTTTTCCTCCAGAGCCTCTTTGACTCTGTTATCATCACTAAATCATCTGAATCATCAGCGCAGTATGGAGCCACTGACACAGGAGAGAGACCCCCAGCTCACCCTTCTCTCCCCTCTTTCCTCTGGGTGGCTATTACAGGTGGCAAGTAGGAGGGAAGTGGACCCTACGGCACTGAAACGCCTGTTGTTCGCTGTCCCCAAGCCCAGAAAAGCCACATTTTCCTCCCGGCCTGCCCTTCCCCAGCCTCACCTGCCTTGGACTCTCCTTCCCTTTCCGCTTGCACCTCCCAGGACAGGCCTCGTCAGGCTCCCTCAGGGCCTCATTTCCAGGAGCTGGAAGACAGAAGGAAGCTACAGATACTTGATAATTCAGCTGGGGTCTCTTAAGGAGTCTGTGGTCTGCAATGACTGTGGCTCCTGTACCATAGGTCAAGTATGTGATGGCTGTGGGCACCTTCAGAGGCCACTTACAGAGAACCATATTTTGATGGGCTTTAGCAGCCTCCCTAGGCCGTACACTGCTTTGAGAGAGTCCGCAGCTAATGGCCAGAGAAGAAGAGTCCTAATTAAGGCCACCCAATGAACTGGGAGCCAGATTGGAGCTCGAGTGTGGGTCTTCTGATTCTAGCCCAGTGCTCCAGCGCTTTCTTTCTTCAGATTGCCTGGAATAGGTGTTGTAGGAGATGGTAGTCACCTTGGCAATGATGTATCTGGATGCTGTATCTGGGGGTTGTTGATAGGTTAATTCAAACTGTGTTCATTCACAGGAGGGCCCAGGATTCCTAGGCAGCTTGTGGAACTCATAGAGAGAAGGAGAAAAAGAGACGAAAGATGAGAACAGCCCAACATAGATCTCTGGTCTCATTAGTTTGTTGATTCCTTCACTCCTTGATTCACTCGTACAGTCATTCTTTTGTTCCACTGTGGGTGTTTGGGATGCCCTATCTAGCTCTCACCATCAATGTCACAGGTTCTACCTTGAAGAATTCTTGGCCTCACTCCAGGCATGAGATGTTTGAGCTCTGGGTACAATGATGGCCTTCACACAGACAGACACAGACAGGCACACACGCGCGCGCACACACACACACACACACACACACACACACACAGCTTTGGCAAAAATGAAAAAGAGACATACCATGAAAAAGAGAAGGTGGGGTTGACAGGTGAACAGTTGTTCCTTCTTCCCATAGACCTTAAAGTTGCAGAATGTTCTCTGTCTGCTTCCCCGTGAGCCACTAAGCCTGCAAATCCAGTGGCTACAGTGTCCCTGGCTACCGTAGCTGTGGTTTTAGGGGTCCTGGCTGGACTTTGTGGGTGGGCACCTCCATGCTTCCTCCCTTCTCAGGCCTGCTCCTCAGGGCCTGATTGTGGGACCTCTTCCCCCTCCCTGGCCATCTCCCTCAGGCCCACAGCTGTTAGAGCTCAGCCTGCCAAGTCTCCCAGAGTCGTATGGAACTCACCACCCAATGTAGGTGGGAAGGACGCGGACGTGCAGTCAGCTGGGTGGGAAGGCGGCTCCCAGGAGGCAACACTCTGAGGTCCACGCCAACCCCACCCCTAGCTGATATTTTCAACAATTCCGTGAGAGGCACTGGGAAGGACGTTTGGCCCAAAGACCATCACTCTTCACAGCTCAGTCCCTGAGAAACATGGCAGAGATTCCTCAGACAACCCCAGAGGCCAGGGGTTGGAGAAGTGAAGAGGCAACTTCTCTCCAAGGAGAGGCCAAGGGACCCTGAGGATCTGATGATGCTTATGGTCAGACTCTGTGTGGTCCATCAAGACAGAAAAAAGAAGAAGAAGAAGAAGAAGAAGAAGAAGAAGAAGAAGAAGAAGAGAGAGGGAGGGGGAGGGGAAGGAGAAGGAGAAGGAGAAGGAGAAGAAGAAGAAGAAGAAAGGAGTGAAAAAGTATTAAGAAGCTGCAGATTTTCTTATAAAGAGCTTAGACTTTGGAGTTAGACAGCCTCTAACACTGCCCAGCTCTGCAACTTTGGGCAAGTTACTTAACTTCTCTGGGCCAAATCTCTAAAACGGGATAATGATACTTTTCCTCCCGGGCTGCTGTAAGAATTGGAGAAAATATTTACGAAGCACAAAGACAGTGCCTGGAGGTACCTTACTAATGACAATGACAGAAGTCTGGGAAGCACTTACTATGTTCTCGGGAGCTGGTAGATTTTAGGTCATCTTTTTATTCTTGATGGAACACAGTGGATGTTACAGGTACAAACACGGGCAGGGTCTCTGACTTTGTGCTGAGGCTTCTTCCCCAGGAGACTGAAAGCGCCCACCTCTTGTCACAGGGGCATGTGACTCAGAAGAGGGGATGCCAGACCCTGAGTCAATGGCAACACTGTCTCAGAGCACCTATGTCCCCTTGGGTGGACTCCTCTGCACCCAGAGATCAGACGCAGCCCTGCTTTGTTCTGAAACCACAAGGTGGTGTGGCCGGCAGCCAGAGAGAGTGCTTCTTTTTCCAAAGTATGTTTGCTGTATAAACACAATCGTAAAATAAAAGCCAAGTGTCGGCGATGGCGGGGTCGGAGCGAGAGCGGGGAGAGGCGGCGTTGCTGGCGATGGCCAGCCACTCCCGCCCAGCCCGGGCGGTCAGTGTGGAGGAGGAGAGCCCTGCATCCCATCACGCTGTCAGCCTGCACAGACCGTATTTTCTTCAAGCCTCACTTGGCTGGAGCAGTTTGGAGAGGGTCAGGGAAGGAGGAGGCAGGCTCCAAGGCCTTGCTGGACTCGGAAAAATAATCTGGCTTCTACCGACTTGTCATCTGATCCATAAAATTCGCTGCTTGGGTCCTTAAGATGGTCCCCTGGGGCTTTATCTGGGTCTCAGATTCAAAAGCAGAGTTACTGACCATGGAGATGGCTCTACCATCAAGTAGCCAAGAAAAGGGTGACCTGGGTTCCCAGACACCATCCCCCGCCCCCCACACCGCCCCAGCTGCGTATGCCTCTGTGGCTAAAATCAAATGGAAGTTTGGACCGATGGTCTGTGGCAACTCAAGCTTCCATCCCTTCGAAGACTTGTCTTGATCAGGACGAAGTGGGAAGAAGGGCTTGAATTGTCGCAGCAGCTGTCTTAACCTTCAGTGCCACGATGGCTTCGGGTTTCCATCTCTTACCCCCGCTGCCCCCTTGACCTGCTTGCTTGCTCCTTCTCCTCAGTCCTGTCCCTCCCCCATGACTCGCGGACTTTACCAATAATTCCAAACTGCCCCCCAGTTGCAGCCACCCCAATTTCTATCACTGGCTTGGACCACTTTATCCTTCAAGGAGGGTGAGGAGTCAGGGGGAGGTGCAAGGGGTCTGGAAAAGGCATGCTAGGCTCTGAATCGAATTCAGACGTACTGCTCTCTGTCTGCTCAGAAGGAAAACTTACGACTCACAGCTGCGGTGCGGCGAGCACGGGGATGAAGCCATGGAGGGCCCCCGCATATTTTCCTTGGCCTGCACACAAGTCGTTGACATCATTTCAGACTTCGCCATTCATCCACTGCTGCTCGGAGCTTGTGTGGTTGTGTGGGGCTGTGTTCCAGAGTCTGGGGAAGGTCTGATTGCAAATTGGGTGGTGGTGGGGATGGAGGTGGTCCCGTGGAGTTTGTAAAAACAAACAGAAATGCACTGAACCTTGTCTTTCCTCCCCTGGAATGATGAGGGAAACTAACCCCCACCCGCCCGGACCAACCCACTCCTCTAGTGCAAACAGACCCAGGCCAAGGCTAGTGGGGACCCAGAGAAGCCTTTGTTCTGTCTGCACTATTTTGGGGAATGATGACGAATGTTCGCCACAGGTAAGAAAAGCAGGGGTTCCAGTAGCAAATTCTATCACATCCTTCCAGACGTCACTCGGGCCTCTCTGGGCCCATCTGCATTCTCCTGCAAATCCTGGGTAGCAGGAAAACCCTGTTAATGGTTCCCAGAGGTCTCAGAAAAGAAAATGGCAAAAGTAGGAAATGTTAATATCAGGAAACAGGGCATGCGTGTAGGTGCGTGCTGTGCAGGATTAATAATAATTTTTAGAGGACAGCTCTTCTGTGCTGGGGCTATCGTAAAGGAAGTCCTCTTTTAGCTGAGCTGCCCACCTCCTTGCATTGTCCCTCAATTCCGGTAGCATGGAGTGCGGTTGGGACAGTGGTTAAGAACGGGGTGGGGGTGGAGGGAATGCTTGGGGGCAAGATTAGAGAGTGCAGGTGAAAGGGCCTCTGACTCACCCAAATGTTGCTTCCTTTGTCGACACCGTGAGACACCATGTTTCCCACCACGGGCAAAACTCTGGACTTTGTCACTGAGAAAAAACTGCCTGGGCTCTAGCCACCGTGGAGCTGAATTTGAACCCTGCCAGAGGCCACTCTTGATTCGATAGCAGCCAGGGCCTCCTCCTCTACGCGACCTCGGGAACAGGATCGCTTCTTTCTCAAACGTCACCTGACACAAAGCGTTTGAGGAGAGGGCTCTGCCCCGGGACGTTCCTGGAAATGTTAAACAACCAGTTCACTCCAGGGAAAGTAGACCTGATCTGCAGCATTTGCCAATTTCTATGGTGTAAATTCCCCCCCCCCCCATCCGGATCAACTTCAAGCTACCAACCGTTGGGAGACAAGTCACTGGTCTTTTGTGTTTCTGCCCATCTTATGAGCAAAGATACTGACGCCTTTTGTTCTGCACTCTTTGTAACAATGTTTGTTTTCTGTCTGTCTCTCTTTCTCTCTCTTCCCCCAGTGCTGGAAACATAGGACTTCACGACCCTAGAAGATGAGAGGTATTTGTGATAGAAAGAGTCCTGATCCCTGAATCGGTTCTTATGGAGGAGACACCCAGGAGAGCCACCTATCAAAAATATCCACATTAGACTCTGTGTGAATGAAAAATCAACTTTTCTCATGGCAGAGCATTGATATTTCAGGTGTGCGTAGCACCTACCAGCACCTACTCTAACTAATATAATCAGCCACCACTATTTTCTCCCTTTATTGATGAGGAAACCGAGGCTCGCAGGTTAATGGACCAGGTGTCATTACCAGTAAATGGCAGAGCCAGGATTCAAACCTAGGCCCGTCTGCCTCCAAAGCTTTTTGCTCGACTTTGCTGACTTGTCGTGACAACGGCCCACGTGTGGCAAGGGTTCTGAGGTCCACAGATTTGCCCAGGATGGGAAACAGGTCTCCCTGCCAGAGAAAGCCAGTTATCTTTGGTAATCAGTCCTGCCTTCAGGGAAGTCTGGAAGGCTGACCATCTGCAGCTTCCAGGAAGATTGATTCCTTGTGTCCAAGCCACTGCTGTTCAGGGCAGAGCAAGGATCCCCTGAAGAACTCTTAACCTGATGAGTATTGCACGTTCAGGACAGCTGGTGGACTAAATGAGGGCCCCCCCACGACCACTGAGAGACCCCTGTCACCATGGGATTGCAAACATTGCAACAATTCAGTAGGAACTCATACCACGAAATTGCTGAACACCCGCTGTCTGCCTTCCGGTGAGGGGTCCCAGGGAGTCACAGCCAGGATGACGAGGACCCTGGGAAACAGCTTCCTGGCTTTAACTTACAAAGGGTCCTGGGTGACGTAAGTTAGGCACACTTATGCACTTATTGAGCACCTGCTGTGTACATTACGGCTACAATCACTACTGCTTTTGAAACCCTGTTTCAGAGACTGACGAAGGATTTTGTTGTTCTGCTCCCTGGCTATGTTTGAAAGAAAAATCGGACAATGCTACTAAAATAAGGTCACATTTGGTTTGACATTTAATGAATCATCTTTGCTGAAAAGGGTAAAAATACATAAATTCAGGACTGCCTTGGAAAATACCCGACATGGAAATGCTGCGGGATGATGTGAACCAAACAGAAGAGGTGAAGGGGGCCACATCTGTCTT